CCACAGAAGAAGCTGATGTAATTAAATCCGTCTGCGGGGTAAGAGGAGTAAAGGATAGGGAAAGCTTGTGAAGTGCAGGGGAAGTCCCTGGAGGGATAATTAACAATATCTACCGTTAGTATCTGTGCTTCTTCTTTCTCTGACGCTCGCTACAGTACAGACTGATGCAGAGGCAAAACCCCAGACAGACTTCCTACCAGTTGGTTTGCTTCTGCACACTATCCTGCTATATAAAGTGTGGATTAGACAGCATACAGTACCTATAAGTACATTTAATACAAGACACACTGCTTCAGTTTCAGTGTCCTGGTAGTGTTCATATTTTAGATGTCACATAATTAGATCATTGGAGATCACCTGATCATAAGCAAGGGGATTCTATTGACTGTAATATCAATACACCTGTATCTGGGAGGTCCGAGTTTTGCTGAGTTGGTACTGTGGTCAAACCTGCACCAGGAAGGCAAATGAACACTCTGATAAAAGGTGTCAGGGGATGGTAACAAGACAGTTTCCAAATCAATAATTCACAACACAACAATTTGCCTTTTCACAGGGGGTTATGTGGCGGACTATTTCTTGGCCATGCAGGCATAGTAACTATCTGGAGTCTGTCCTGGTTGCCTGGCAACTGCTTAGAGACAAGTAGTCCAGCATAACACCCCGTAAAATGTTGAATAATCATTTTTACACTTCATTTTTGCATGAATGGAATAAATAAGCTTTAGTCTGCAAATGAGTATCTTAAGCAGTTCTGGTAGGCTGATTTTGTTTTGTTAGACATAAAGGGATCAGCTGTTCTATATTTAATGGGTGGATATGATAATGGCATCAATCATCTTGTCTAACTTTCTGTCAGAAAGTGAAGACATGTATATTCCAAAACTGTTCCTTAAAGAATCCAAGGCTGAGACCCAAACTCAGACCCCTCCAGAGGCCCAAAAGCCCCAGGTCTACTGCATGTCACTTGGTTTGTTGTCGGTTTTAGAGTGGTTCTATTTCCCAATCTAGAATTGAGGTCCATCTTCAAGCTACTTTTCTGGAGCTTTCAAGTGTAGCAATTTTGGCACTGTACTTGGTGGTCAGGTTTAGCCACAAAAATCACTACATTATGGTTAGGAAAAGATCATGTTTTGGCTGTTAATACCCAGTTTCGGAGGCACAGTTCCTGCTAGAAAAGCAGTAATGTGTTGGTAAAAAAATCCCAGCAGTTTTTCATTGCACTATCTCCACTGGAATAACAGCAAAGAGTTGTCAAAAAAAACACCCGTGTTTGGTGGCCAAAAAGCCTCTAGAAACACAGCAAAGACTCAAAAACAATTGGTTTTGTTGTTTGTTGGTTTCCAATAGTGGTCTGCTGCTTTGTCAGGGGTTTCGCCTGGGTAACACGCCATCCACAATCCCATCCGCCTGCCAATGATAAAGTCAGCTCACATACTAGTAGGTCTAACGTATTCATGGTTTGCAGAAATGTACAACATCTTCTGGCACATTGGACTGTCTGTTGAGATGTCATGGAGATGGATTTGCTGAAATCGGAGCTCAGCGGCTGTTACGATATTCATTTGTATACGAAGACCATGTTATACAGATGGAAGCACAAAACCTTGAGCTTGGATTGATTTGTCAACTATATTTGCAAGGTCAAAAAAGCACTTTCATGCTTATCAAAACTATTTTACACTGTGTTTGTAGTGCATATCCATAAATACCCTCGCTAAAGATTCATCCAGCCTTGTTTGTGAGGGTAGATGCGAGGGGTGTAAATCACAAGTTTCATAACAATATGATATGGATTTTTTTTACAACAATAGCTACAATATTGGCTGATATCACAAAAAGTCTGCGATTACTGTACAATTTTGGTTCAGTAAAAGCTCGTCACTGTCTTTTCCTTGGGTGCTTACCATTATCAGCCAGGCGGTAGACCGCTAACACTGTTTGAATGTGCCACTGAAATGTCAAAATAAAGGGGTAATTTAAAGATAACAATATATATCAATATTTTCACTTTACATCATGGACGTTGGATGGTTGATGATTGAATTGATGCGTCAATCCAAATCCCTAGTACATGGTAAAGTGAATGTGGCATAATACTAAATCCTGATTCAGAGGGAGTGAAACTATTTTTTTGTATTTCATATTTGTAATAAATTTAGATCTCTTTGCAGGGATCTTTTCTCCCTTTGAACTTAAAGGGTCTTTTTCTGTTGATAAGTGTCAGAAGAAGGCACACTGTATTTCCCTTAAAAGGTGCTATAAACAGAGGAGAAAAGTGCTGTAAAAAGAAGACAAATTACAATTTGTTTATACAAAGTGAGAGGACTGAATAGCTTTGTCTGAATAACTTGGAAAGTTAGGGTAAAGGAGATTAAGGCAGTGTCTCCCTTTATCTCACTTTCCATTTCTTCCTCTCCCGTGTGCTCACACATTAAATAAGGTCTGCCAGAGCAGAACATCGTGATCCAGCTGGATTTTAACACAGAGGTGCTGTGCTGGCAGCAACAGTCTCCACACATCTGAATGTCAGCTGTCAGGAGGGGAATAAATAGCCCTTAAATAAGACTGCGGTGTGAAACTGGTCAAAACTTGCAGCTCATGTCTTGTCAGAATATCACATGATTTTCCTCTCAAGTATTTAACACCGAGCTGAAAATTTGATGATGGCGCTTCAAACATCTGACAGTGCGGAACACCCTGTAACTTCCAGTCAGGTGTCTCCCATAATCTCTAAAAGTTGTGAGTCAGAGATATGTGACTGGGTGTTGGAGCTTTGTGTGCTGTGTGATTGCTTGGTCCTGAAATAGCAGAATGCTTCCCAATAGCTACTTAATTCTAATGAGGGTTTTATGAGTCGTGATCAAGAGCTCATTGGCAACGGGGTTCAGTCAATAGCGCCTTCTCTTCTGAGCGGAGCCTCGGCTTATGGGCCAACCCCGTCAAATTGACCCGAAGATTTATACAGCTATTTTCTAAAGGTCCCCATTCGTGGGCCTACAGTCAGGAAGGCGAATTAGTGTTTCAATGGATTTCACTTTCAATTTGAATGCGGAGTGGTTGGAACACGGCCCCGGCTAACTGGAGGCCATGGGTAATGAACTCCTTTGTGTTCTGCCACTTAGAGGATCAAATGCTTGAGGCTGTGAAGACATTCGGCACTGCAAGAGAGATGATTTCCTTCGACTGCTATAGGTGGTGAATCCTGTGAGTTTATCCACCCTTTACTGAGAACCACACACACTGATGACCCCTGTTTAACTGGCATCAGTTCATCAATTGGGATTAGTTTGCATTTCAATATTATGACAGCTGTGAATCGCTCCATGCTTTTGCACCCAAATTAGCAGTGGATGTGAAGGAACTGCCCATTGGTCCGACAGCCCATTGTTCCGACCATATTAAACCCATTGTTCCGAAGTCCGTTCCAAAATCATCATGATGCCCTGTGGTTAACGTCTGTTTAGGTTTAGGCACGAAAACCACTTGGTTAGGGTTAGGACAAGATCATGGTGTGGGTTAAAATGAAAAAGAAAGTGACAAACACATAAGCCGTGAGCCTGCTTCGCCTCAAGCCTTTCCCAGCTGACCCAGAGCCGGTCGCGGCGCACCATCAAGGTAGAAATACGCCCGCCGGGAGCCGTTCAGCACCGCGGACCGTCAGACTAATGGGATGTCGGACCAATGCGCTGTCGGACCAATGACATGGACCCGGATGTGATCTATATGGGTACTACTCTTCTTTTCACATGTGGTAACTGCAATTGGGAATTCAAAATAAACAATAATATACAGACAGGCAGCTTGTCAAAAATATATAGAATGTACTCTGAGCTAATGCTAACCTCAACATGCTAAAGTGCACCCAGTGACAATGCTAACATGCTAATGTTTAGCAGGTATGTTGACCATGCTCACCAATTTAGTTTAGAGCATTGGCATGCTAACATTTGCTTGTTATCAGTAACACAAAGTTTTGCATGTGTTTAGTCTTAAGTTAATCAGGTGGCGACACTGATAGCAAGTGGATGACGAACATTAGCATGATTCATCTTCTGGTGACCGTGAATGTCTGCAAAAGAATTCATGGGTCTTACGGTAATCAAGAGTCTTGACCATTGTGGTAGACTGACTGACATTGTTATCCCTTGTGCCAGTGGCGTAATGGAGGGTATACACAGGTAAGCAGGGTATACCCACCTCTGTATGTGGCTGTTTACAGTATATTCACCTATCAGCCAAAAAGACATTGGAATATATGGGAGAGTATACCCACTTCCTCCTTGGTAACCCACCCTCTACCTAGTAGAACACCCACCTCATAAATTACCACTACACAACTGCCTAAAGCCATGCCGGTATAGCATGCTTAGAAATACGTATTAGTAAATGACCCCTCTCTGTGTCATAGACTTTTGCATTAGTGGATTAAAATTATTGATGCAGTGACCTGTAGGTAGCGTTTATATGTTGTAGCTGCATTTTACAACGGTAGGCAGTTTATTAAGTAAGAATTAATCATATTCACAAATTGACCTTTTGGTGTGAGTTGCAGAGTGATGGAGATATCAGCTGTAGAAATGTCTGCCTTCTCTTGAATATAATAGAAATCGGTGGAACTTGGTTTGTGGTGCTGAACTATACCCGCCAACCCTGTCACTCTGCAGACAGGAGGCAGACATCTCTAGGGTTGATATCTCAAACACTCATCAACTCACACCAAAACAATCTAGACTGATAAATAGCACTACAGGTAAGAGGGAAAATATGTTTTTGATTTGGGGGTTAACTGTCCCTTTAATCTGCAAAGTACTGTCGAGTATATGTGGTGGATTGAAAAGGTAGTAAAAGTATTAAGTAGCTTAAATTAGACATGCTCAGGTAGAGTACCTCAAAATTGTACTTACAGTGAGTGCAGAACTTGAAAAGCATACTGCGCTTGCCAACCACTTGGAGAGGAAATAAAAATCATCCATGTAGAAATATTGCAAACCCAACAATGTTTAAGAAAAAGTATTTTATTTCATTTTAAAACCCTTCACATTCCTTTCTTTATTTTCACTCTATTTTCCAGACCTACGCTGTATAAACGTACAGAAAAATACAAACTGTATCGACTGCAGTAGGGGGAAATATAGTAGAATTAAAGAAACAATATATACTACTATAATACTCACAGTTGCAAACCTATGAATTTCTATTAGCTCATTAGCGATTTCCTTTCCAAGTACAAAATTGAATGCCATTGAAAATGTTAGACCAACAAATTGCTGAGGTGAAAAAATGCGTGACATACTGTATTTGTTTACTTATCCATTTTAAACTCAAACAAAATAGTCAAAGGGCACCAGTCAGAAACAGACCACAATGGTAGCGAAGAGATAATGTGGTTGTGACCTTATCTCCTGCTGACACCCACAACCCAGGACGGGGAGCGGTTAGATGGGTGACATTACTCAACACATTTAACCTTTCAGCCAACCCTCATGAGCTCTCCAGTTAATCCATTCAACAGTCTGACAGTTTAGTGTCACGCCGTGGCCCTGTGGAGGGGATGCGAACTGTTACAGTTCAGAGGATCATGGACAGCCAGCCAACGATCATAGCTACACCTCCCATGGGAGCCACCTTGCGTAGACCGGGGTCCCCTGTCAGGGCCTGGTGGTACAGAGAGCCACAGAACATCCCCATGCCCGCTACCAAGAGGGTACCAGCCTGTATAGAGGAGACACATGAGAGATATGTTTAATCGCTTTTTTAAAATCAGTTTGGTTATCAACAAATTGCAGCCTGAAGACTGAAGTATACAGCTGGCAACCTGTCACATGACTGCTGAAAGGTTACAGATGACAGTATACTGGGGAATGGGGGATTCAGCCTGTCCAAACATATTAGCAATCAAAGCCAAATGTTTTGCTCCGCTTTGGTTGCAAACTACCATAATGCATTATGATAAAAGCCTATCTGTGCATCGATTTTGTTCCTAAACCAACATGTGTTCATATGTTGTAATTTTCTTTTATTTCTTATCGGATCCTAATTTGTATTTCTTCAAATTAGCTGAGTTACTCCAAAATCTTTGCTCGCACCCTCTGGCAACAGCAGAGGTGCTCCTAGCTGGAAAATCACTGGAGTATAGCTGCTACCAGTCTTCACAGCAGAGCTGGGTAACTTTCTTTTTTTTTTTTAATTAATTTTTTATTGACATTCAGCATCAGACATTCACATCCAGTACATCATATTTGCATACATCATACATCTATTGTCTGCCCTAAATGCCAAAATAATATTTTTTTGTTTTATATCCAAACAATGAAAAGAAAAACAAACCACAAGAAAACTATGTACAAGTAGGGAGTGATCTTTTTAACACAACACAATCACTGATTTGAGAAAATAAAATCAGGCCTATGGGGCGTGACATAGTTGACCCAGTTTTCCCAGTATGAGCTGGGTAACTTTCAAAGACGTCACCTTCTCTATTCACAGCTGTGAGACAAAAAGGTAGCAGGAGCTCAAATGACTCAAAAAATATGATATAATTATATATGTGTAACTTCTTCCATTTTTAGCCAAACTTAAAGTGACAGTTCACCCCAGAACCCTCTTACCTGTAGTTTTATTTATCATTCTAGATAGTTTTGGTGTGAGTTGTCAAGTGTTGGAGAGATCAGCTTTGGAGATGTCTGCCTTCTCTCCAATATAATGGAACCGGGTGGCACCCGGTTTCTGGAGCACAAAGCAGTGATACAGTTGGTGGGTGTAGTTTGGTAGAAAGAAAATAGGTCCTACATGAAACTGTCTGTGGATTATCTTGAGTAACCGGGTCATGAGCCGAGTGCCATCTAGTTACATTATACTGGAAAAAGGAAGACATGTCCATGGCCGGTATCTCCAACACTCTGCAACTCACACCAAATCAATCTAGTACAATAGTACTACAGGTAAGAGGGAAAATATGTTTTTTGGGGTGGGGGGTGGGGTAAACTGTCCCTTGAAGTAGCACTGTTACACAGGGGTAGTGGGTTGATAAGTTAGGCTCATTCTGAGGTGGAGAACCTAAGTACATGAGGTCCCACAGGAAACACTGAGCCTGGAGTCAAATAATCTTCATCAAAAGCTCCAACTAGATGTGAAATTGATTGGATTGGCCACTACAGACATCCCTTGTAATTTGGCATGCATCTCCTTTTCATGCAGTTTGTTGATTTCAATCAGACATTTTGTGGTTAACGAATCTTTAAATAGCATTTAGCCAACAAATACTTGGCACTGCAGGTTTGACATATGTTGAGAATTCTATTAGTCATAATGTGATAAAGCCAAGATACACACACACACACACACACACACACACACACAAACAAACTACAATTTCACTGCTCCATTGCCAGCTGTTATGCCACAGGTTTGTAATTATGACCTAAAGGAAGACTGGTTTTCTGAGTGGGAATGGACAGGTAATGGCAGAATGACACTATCACATTAGTCCAATTTTAGAGGACACTCAAGTGCATCCAGCCCTGGAGTCAGTATTAGGCTTCCATACTTACCACAGCAGGTTTGCCACAGTGGGCAGCACCCAGCAGGGCCAGGCTGTGGTAGAAATGGTACTTGTTGGCAGTTTCAAATAGCTGGAGAAGCAGGCACAGAGACAGAGTGATCAGAAAAATTCTGCCTGGAAAAGCTAGAAGATGGCTACTAATGCAGTGTAAATGGACTACGAGACATTGGTACTAGTATAATGGGGGAATGGGTACTATCATGCACCTATTACACACACGTTACAGTCTGTCACAAGACTGAAACAATTATCAATTTTTAAGAGATATTTTGGAACCCTTTTCCTGTGTCTTGACATTTCTTAAAGTTTCCTGATCAACATGTTAGACAAAAAATCTCACAGGCACATGAGTATAAAAATATTGCTACAGTGACTCTAAAATTGAGCACTAAACTAAAACCAGTCTCAAAACTGCATAATCAAAATCAGGATTTCTGACCAGAAAACTGAAGTAGGAACTGTATTAAGGGACTGCGGCAGTGATCGACAATAAAGGTTAGCAGAAAAATAAACTTTAAATATTTCAATTTGCTGTTTACATACCACGACCTGGTAGTCATCAGGGTCTTTGTTTTTGAAACCTAAAGCAAGAAATATGGAAGAGAAGATTTACATAAAGCAGCATGTGATATGAAATGTGACATTCACGTGCAATCTGACATTTGATCATTTTAATGTCAATCAGCAGACTTCCCTTTGGGGTATCCTTCCGTTCCCCACACACTATTTTAGTAATGGCCTCTTACTGGATCATGAACCCCCTACTGTCATGATGCTTTGGGTCACTTTAGACTTTTGTCATTTCTTGTGCACCATGTTAATGGTGACAACATTGGTCTTGGTGCATTTTCTCGTGTGGTCAGCCATTGTAGTGTAAATATTACTGACTCAGGATAGTAATTAGCCAGCCTACCGTCTCATGATCATTTTAAAAGTTACCAAAACACAGCAACATTTAGCTACTAGCAGGAAACGCTACTTGCACTCCAGACTGCACGTATGCCACTGACCCACTCGTTAAATAAGCCTTCTTCCACCATGACACACTGAGGAGGCGGGTCACCTTGATTCCATATTTGTTAATTTTACAAAAATGACGTGCTGCTTTGTATGTTTTTTGGATGCCGAATTAACAATTAGCCTATTACACATTAGCATGATATTTTTTGTATATTAGAGTTGTGCAGCTGGGTCGATGACGAAGCTAATCTTAAATTAGCATCTTTCAGGACGAAGGCTGGTGCGGTAAGCGTTGACATGACAGTTTTTCCTGGTTGTGGTTTACTATCCAGCCAAACGGCAAGACTCGTGTGTGAATATGGAGTGTAAGCTAACGTAGAGTCCCTACCGTGAGCTCCGTATGCCCCTAGTCCCACCGCCGAAGCTCCTGATAGAGCTGCTAACCTTCGGACGATACCTGAAGCGTTCATGTTTTGAAGCTGCGTGTGTCCGACAAGCGTTGAAGTGAAGGTAGTGTTGCATTTAGGGTCATTTTGTAACCCCTACTTTTGCAGTCCTATTGTTACGGATTATGGCTTTACCGCGCAGAAAATATGACATAATGTGACAAAAATTGTGCCGCAGAGAGAGGAGGGATATAAATTTACATCAGCTGTAGGTTTTTTAAATTTTGTTTCTATCTCATGAGCGCTTTCATACATTGATTGATTATTTGACTCGTTTTTAATTACGTGTAAAAGTATTTGTGAACAACAAGTAAAAATAAATACATGTCAGAAGCCATACAAACATTACAAAACAAAAACATTTGCAATGACGTTTGTATTACACATGATTTCAGCTCCCTCACATCTCTTTTTCATATGCTTGTCCTGATTACGACATTCCGCTGAGTCCGTAAAGGCAGCATCTCAGAGGAACGAAACTACGTTCAATCCAGGGCTCCTGGCTGCCAGGCACATCCGATATCTGTTTGGAGGCTTGAACCAAAATGGCGACTGCCGTGCTTCAGTTTCAGCCCACTGGGCAAATTTCATAACTCTACCAAAGAGATCTGACACTGACATGACACTTCAGCAGTGTTGTAATGGCTTAAGGCTTCATACTTAGGCTATGAATATATGAGTGTAGGCATTTTATACTCCTATTGCTGGCCAGTTCTGACTTCCAGAGCTTTCAAAAAACACTGCAACCACAGTGAAAGTGAAAAAAAAAACAATATTATTTATTATATTTTTATTCTATTTTTGTGCTAAATCTGGTGCTATCAAGGCTAAGCTTGGAGGATATGAAAGGTTCAAACTCACTGTTACTCAGTGACCTTCATTTTGCAAATGGAAGAGAAAATCAAACATTTTTATTTTTTACCTCTGCTTTGTTTAAGGCCTCACATCTGATATGCATAATTCATGGCAGGGCTAAATTATACTATTGTGCCGCTTTTGTATGAATAATTAATTTTCGCCACAGAGGGGTTGCTGGGCTTCAGAGAGGGGTTTATGCCGCCCATTTCTTCCAGCATCACCGTAGGCACTAAATTGCCACATAACACTGAATGATAGGTTCAGCCGTGCGGAGGGCGCATTAGTGTGCAGCACTTTGCAATTTGTCCATCAGTGCAATTTGGGAAACACTGGTGAATTTCTCTGCTTTAGTGGATTACGCCTAATGTTGGATGTGTTTTCCTGCCAGCAGAGGTGTTGGGGACTAATGCTGATGTTACCCTTTGATGAAAACACACTAATCCCTGCAGAGAAGCCACCAAAAGGGGGTGCTGTATTGCTTTCTCGTCTGCCAAAGTTCGTCCATAGAGGGATTGTGTGTGTGTGTGTGTGTGTGTGTGTGTGTGTCTGTGAGAGGGTGGAGGGACTTCTTCCAATTATCATATTGAAATTACACAGGGTCACACTGCATTACTGTAGAGTCGCTACACCACAGTTTCCGCCGAGCCTTGTCCTTAGCTGACTTTGACACAGCTTTAACACAATGCATACAATTAACACATCTTAATGACCATGTGGCTAATTAAAAGTAAGCCTTATGAGTCACAAGCCTTAATCATCAACTGTGAACTGAACCTGTAGCCAGTGAGTGTTGTGATGTCGAGTTTCCTTTGGCATGATTTGGCTTGTATGCAGAAGTATACTCGCTTACTGTGCACAGAATCCCCTCGAAATCCACTCACACACACACACACAGACATAAACACAGGTCATTTTCATTCTGGCCCATGGCAGATGGGACAGCAAGGACAACAATGAAGTATGGCTTTACATCTTGTTTTCACAGACAAGCGGCAAATTATCTCTAAGTCCCAGCAGCCGTGTGCCGTGAGGTTCTTCCAAGAGCCAACATCCATCTCACTTCAGCCAGACCGCCTCTCCTCTCCTCTCCTCTCCTCTCCTCTCCTCTCCTCTCCTCTCCTCTCCTCTCCTCTCCGGTGACTGCTTTACTTCCTAACAAACCTCAGCATGTTTGAGCTGAAGCGTGTGCATGTATGTGTCTGATCTCCTTAGACTGTTTGCCCTCGGCCTGTCTTGTCAAGATTGAGCCGCCGTCCAATGAAACATTCGTGAAAAACAGTCAGGTGTACAGCAAGCAGAACATTGCTCCTGTAAAACGGCAAAATCGAATGAGCACTTCCTGCAAATGGGAACTAGTAGCTTGTCTTGCAATGTAAAGATTTACATGACAGCTCCTGATGCCTAACGTTTTATTTCATCCTGGTGCAACGTTTTCCTTAGAGTATGACAATGGCATGGTGTGACAATGACAAGGAAAGATGCTTCACAAATGTAACTTTGTCACCTTGCATTTCCACATTTTAAAACAAGTGTATGCACACCTGGAATCTCACTTTTCTCTTGACTTAATGTACTGCTGTGGGTTGTTTTGAAAATCCAATTTCCTATTCTTGTTAGCTCTGTTGTTAGGTATATCTGGTGGCGATGCATCTTCGTTCTGCAAGGGAATTTTAATGCAAGGCAAACAAAGTGGAAACAGCCGGTCTGGTCAACATGAAAATGAACATTCTGCTTTCTTTTTGTTAGCTGGTAACAAGACAAACAGGAACATCGTGAAGCAAGACCTTATAGTTATCATCATTTAAAGAATTAGGTACACCTGTTCATCTCCTCATTAATATTAACTAATCAGCCAACTCGATGCATTTAAGCATGTAGACATGGTTAAGACGACCTGCTGAAGTTCAAACTGAGCATCAGGTGATTTAAGTAACTTTGTACGTGGCATGGTTGTTGGTGTCAGATGGGCTGGTCTGAGTATTTAAGAAACTGCTGATCTTCTTGGACTTTCACGCACAACCATCTCTAGGGTTTACAGAAGATGGTCCCAAAAAGAGAAAATATCCAGTGAGCAGCAGTTCTCTGGGCAAAAATGCCTTGTTAATGTCAGAGTTCAGAAGAGAATGGCCAGACTGGTTCAAGATGATAGAAAGGCAACAGTTACTCAAATAACCACTCGTTACAACCAAGATCTGCAGAAGACCATCTCTGAACCAACAACACGCCCAACCTTGAAGTCGATGGGCTACAGCAGCAGAAGACCACACCTGCTGCCACTCCTGTCAGCTAAGAACAGGAAACTGAGGCTACAATTTGCACGGGCTCACCGAAATTGGACAATAGAAGATTGGAAAAGCATTGCTTAATTTGATGAGTCTGGATTTTTGCTGTGACATTCAGATGGTAGGGTCAGAATTTGGTGTAAACAACATGAAAGCATGGATCCATCCTGCCTTGTATCAACGGTTCAGGTCGGTGATGGTGGTGTAATGGTGTGGGGGATATTTTCTTGGCACACTTTGGGCCCCTTAGAACCAACTGAGCATCATTTGAACACCACAGCCTACCTGACTATTGTTGCTGACTGTGTCCATCCCTTTATGACCACAGTGTACCCATCTTCTGGTGGCTACTTCCATCAGGATAACGCACCATGTCACAAAGCTCAAATCATCATGACAATGAGTTCACTCATTGTACTCCAATGAGTTCACTGCACTCCAATGGCCTCCACAGTCACCAGATCTCAATCTAGTAGAGCACCCTTTGGTTGTTTTGGATCAGGAGATTCCAATCATGAATGTGCAGCCGATGAATCTGCAGCAACTGCATAACGCTATCATGTCAATATGGACCAAAATGACTAGGGAATGTTTCCAAGGTGTACCTGATAAAATGGTAAGTGAGTGTACAGACTTTCTGTGACAGTCTCCTTGCTATAGGGTGCCACCCAGCAGGGGGCTGTGAACGGTCTGTAGTTGGGGTACAACCTGCAGCCCTGGCAGGGCAGCTCACTTTAATTTGTTCATCAGCGAGTGATCATCACAGTCAGAAGAAGCAGGCTGTTCTCAAACACTGTTTGTACGGTTTCCTACAAAAAGTTATGCACCAAAATTTGTGCATATCCCATGTAATCATGAGTCAATAGCTTGTGCATGACCCACCTTTTTCGGAGGGCTGCGATCACGTGACCAATGCGCTGACAGGAGTAAAGAAGGGATTGGTTGGGTTAATGGATGGGTCACAAAACACGGGACTTTTCGCCAGGAGACCAGGGTTCGTATCTGTGTTAACTCTGAGTGAACTTTGAGTCATTTTAAGGTACATCATTACCATGTTTCTTTTCCTAGACCTAACCTGTATGTGCCTAGACCTAACTTTCGTAACTACGCAAATTACGTAACTTAACATTAAGTACATAACGTCATTCATGGGGCGCTAATTCTTAGGATATGACAGGAAATGATGTTGGTGTAAGATGGTTATTGGTGTTCATGTCTCATTAGCTCTTGTTTTTGTTCTTTATATGTACATATCATATGCACAGTGATGCAGTAGTCAGCACTGTCGCCTCACAGCAAGAGGGTTCCTGGTTCAAGCCTTTCTGTGCGGAGTTTACATGTTCTCCCAGTGTCAGCTTAGCTTTTCTCTGGGTACTCCGGCTTCCTCCCACAGTCCAAAGACATGCAGGTTAATTGGTCTAACCTGCCCGTAGGTGTGAATGTGAGCGTGAATGGTTGTCTGTCTCTATGTGTTGGCCCTGCGATAGTCTCGTGACCTATCCAGGGTGTACCCCGCTTCTTGCCTAGTGTCAGCTGGGATAGGCTCCAGCCCCCCCGCAACCCCCAACAGGATAAGTGGTCACGGAAAATGACTGAATGAATTGTCTAGGGTGCTGAAGGTGCTAGGTCCGGCACTCCTGAGTGATACTTTCTGAAATCATGCACGGTCATACCGTTAGAAATGTCACAAGTGTCATCCATCTCCTCCACTGTCACACTCTCAGCTCCTCATGTCTCAGGGTGAACATACAGCAGTGTAAGAGAGCAAAAAAAATCAAAAACAGGACGGCTCCATCCTGCCGGCAATGAAATGTCCTTTGTGTGCCAAAAGCTTTGCCTGCTGGGTGGCATGCCCCCCCCCTTAGATTTAGAATGAACCCAACATTTCTAGAATTCTCATTTAACCTTGATGTGTTTT